GAATACGGCCCTTTCGTAAAACGCTTGAGGGGGTTTTCCAATTCTTATACATAATGTATTCTTTGGAACGGGGGATATGTATAAATAAACTACAAGTAGCTTTCTGAACAAGCTTATGAAACTAGGCATCTTCTGGTGATACTAAAAAGATTGTTGGAGTTTTCTACAAGGCCAACGAATACGCTTCCAAGAACCCTAACTTCCTTGGCTGCGTCGAGAACGCCTTAGGAATCCGCGACTGGCTAGAATCACAAGGACATGAGTACATCGTAACCGATGACAAAGAAGGCCCAAACTGCGGTAAATATTCATCTAACCAACAATCATTAGTTGAAGAGATTATCAAAATCTATATATGGTTCCTTTGATGCTGATCAATCTTATAATTAAATGATAGAACTTGAGAAACATATCCCGGATCTTGACGTCCTAATATCAACTCCATTTCACCCGGCATATGTGACTGCTGAAAGAATCAAGAAAGCCAAGAACCTAAAGCTTCTCCTTACGGCTGGTATTGGCTCGGATCACATCGACTTGCATGCAGCTGCAGCCGCTGGTCTGACGGTGGCTGAAGTCACCGGAAGCAACGTGGTCTCGGTAGCAGAAGACGAGTTCATGAGAATCTTGATCCTCGTGCGCAACTTCGTACCAGGGTACAACCAAGCCATCAATGGTGAGTGGAACGTCGCGGGGATTTGTTATAGAGCTTATGATCTAGAAGGGAAGACGATAGGAACCGTGGGAGGTGGAAGAATCGGGAAGCTTTTGCTACAACGGTTGAAACCATTCGGGTGTAACTTATTGTACCATGACAGGCTTCAGATGGAACCAGAGATAGAGAAAGAGATTGGAGCTAAGTACGTTGAGAATCTCAATGAAATGCTTCCAAAATGTGATGTCATTGTCGTCAACACTCCTCTCACGGAGAAGACAAGGTATGACCGTATGACTCGAAGCTAATATCACAAATAATGAATACAAACACGAACAAGATTGACTAATAATGGGTTCTTGTTTGAACAAGCAGAGGAATATTCAACAAAGAGATGATAGAGAAAATGAAGAGAGGAGTTTTGATAGTGAACAACGCAAGAGCAACAATTATGGAGAGGCAAGCGGTGGTGGAGGCGACGGAGAGTGGACACATTGGTGGGTACAGTGGAGACGTGTGGGACCCACAACCAGCTTCTAAGGACCATCCATGGCGTTACATGCCTAACCATGCCATGACCCCTCACATCTCCGGCACCACCATGGACGCTCAGGTAAATTATTATAATTGTGTGTTTTCCCTAAACGTTACTAACAAGTAACATAGCATAAATTGCTTTGCAAAAAATATGTTGAAAACCAATCAAAAATATAGTTCGATTTTAAGAATGGGTTTTATTAGAGTATACTAAAAACATTTTGTTTGTTTGTTGAAAAAATCAGCTACGATATGCAGCGGGGACTAAAGATATGCTAGAGAGATACTTTAAGGGGGAAGACTTCCCTGCCCAAAATTACATCGTCAAGAACGGTGAAATTGCTCCTCAGTACATGTAAGCTTTTTCGACTATTATGTCGATCATAATCAAAGGACAAGGTTTACAATTCTAAATCAATGATTTATAAATAAATTGTCCTTTGTACCATCTGAAAAAGTTATTGTAATAAACCAGCGAGACATGTCTCTCGAAAAATAATTTTCCTGTATTTGCATGCATGACGATTAGTCGCATATGAATGTCATTTTATCAAATTGATTTTGCAAGTTTTCCCTCTCTTTATATAGCTTCAAATCGTTTTCACACCCTAAAAACCATTAGTTTTGTTATCTTAATCGCGAAAAGAAGAAGAAATTTTGAAATTATATTGATGTACACACGAATTAAACATCTCATCCAAGTGCCGATGACCATTCCTTCACCAGAAACATCAATGGAACCATCATAATATCATTACGCTTCTTCGATATAACAAAAACAACAAAGAATCTTCCACAGCAAGTAAAGCAAAATTCCATAGCAACAAAGAACATGTAATTTATTTGCAAAAGCCGATTCTTAATTCACATAAAATAACATGAAGGCAAATTGATGAACGGCTGAACAATTTCACAGATGTCATAAGAGTTTTCGACTTTAACATGCGATACAGGGGAAAATTAAAAGAACATCACGAGGATGGTGCAATTCTTAAGATCACAGAGCTAAAAATGAGCAGTCCAATACGAGATTCTGTTCAAGAACCGGATCAAGTAACAAAGAAGCAAGAAGTTTAGTTCCTAATGAGCAAAACCTTGTGTCTTGTTAACTAAATAGAAAGAGTTGACAAGTCTTGTTCAAAGGGACATGATCGGAACACTTTCAGGGAAGAGAAAACAAAAACTAATGAAAAGGAATGTACGCCTGGTTGTAGCTGCTCAAATTAATCTCCTTACCAAAAATCACTGCTATTTTCTTACCACAAATTAAGAAAAACGAATATGTAAAATGAAGTCTTCCATTGAACGGTCTCATATCAACTTTTAAGAAGTTGCTCCACAACACTTCATTGGGCTCAATCTTAGTTGTGATCCTTATCTCCATCTCATTTGTATGGCGACGATGAAATAACAACGCAAGCTGCGTTTCTCTAACACCAGATAGAATCACAGAATTGCCATAACGAGAGTGAAATAAGAGAGAAATATGCGGTCTAAACCGCTCTCTTGTAAAATCAAAACAGAGTAAAAATTCTTCCGTCACTACTTTTCTCATTTCCAATTTGTCCTGAGCAAGAAAGTAAGTATTTCATTTCAAAGACACACCTTGGCTATTATAATACGATACATACAAGTCAGAAGTAACATCAAGAAGTTTCCATGAATTAGACTTAAAATCGTAGATTTCGGACTCAAGAATTTGTTGATTCCGAATATTGAGTCCACATATAATTTTCTACCAGCATTTATATAATATAATCACCTATCACTATATAAATTGATTTCAGTCATATATTTTATAAATTATACATAAACCATTAATTTTTATCAAATTAAAAATTCATCTAATTAAACAATAAAAAAATGTACTAAAAATATATTAAAAATTTAATATTTTTTAGCAAATAAAAAGAACTAAATCCTAAGAGTGGGAAGTTTTAACCCTAGGGAAGCCTTAACCCTAACAAACTACACAAAAATATGGTTCGATTCAAATCAGGTATAGTGAAATTTAGCTCGTATATGTAGTGTTCGGTTTGTTTAGGTAGGATTTTATTTTTTACCCACATCGCACTTCTCCTTCAAAAAGAACTAAACCCTACGAGTTGGGATCCTTAACCCTAGGAAAATCATAACCCTAACAAACTAAACAAAACTATGGTTCGTTTCAGTTCAACTACAGTGAAATATAGCTCGTATATGTATTGTTCAGTTTGTTTTAGCAGGTTTTTTAATACTCACATCGCACTTATCGTTCTCATATAACTTTCTACATATACTATTTATATTTTGTATAATTTATACACATACCATTTATATAACATTTATTATATTTCATGGGGAGCACTCGTTGAGTGGTGATAAGTAGGAAGAGCAAATTTTATAAAACCAATATATAACACACCGGATTTTACATCAGATACATCGTGAGATAGATTCAAATTATCAGACCCTGATGGAAGTAACCACCGGATGAATTCAAACAGAAACCGTATAGGTGGAGTGGAAGAGATTAAGATGATGTATGAATTAGTCATGTACTAATATTGACACGCCCCGTCCCCGTATCTTTGGGCCCTAGGTCTCGCGTCCTAACTTGCAATACAAGAAAGACACCTACACA